TCTTATTACTAAACTGTAATTTGTCACCACTTGATGAAGATGTTAACAGTCCATTCCAACTCTGAAATGTAAGGTGTGGCTACACCAAATTTCAGTGTGTGTAAGCATCCACCAAGACTCTTATTTGTAATGTAGAGTTTTGAACCCTATCCCCAAATCTGATCATTAGGTCTGAGGTAGATCCCAGAGATTTAAATGCAGGTGTGGGGGGGGTTCATACTTTAAAAGTATGTAAATATTGGTTTAGTAGATAGTGAACATGTCTGTATTACTGATATGTATTTAAATAAATCTTTAAATCAGATAGGATTTTTTCATAAGAGAAAGCTCAAATATTCAACACTAAAATTTTACATTCTTAGCTTATTTCATCTTTTATGGAGGATAAGGCAAAGATTTGTTTTACTCTGAAGTCTGTACAGTTATATATCCTTTTATAACGACTTAAGAACACCTGAAGTCAAAGCAAGACGGAACAAAAAACCCACCTGAAATCGAGTTTCTGGACTTGGAGAGCCAGGAAAATTAAAATTAAATGTTTGGGCAGGAAGCAAATTACTGGTTGATTCCATTCATATTCTGTGATTGCATCCTCTTGCTGATGGCTTTTTTGTCCTGTCAGATTAGTCCTAGAGGAAACTTTTCACCCCTTTGATTATTATAGATATACCTTGGTTCTGGGAGGTCTGGAATGGGAGAGGCTGGGAAGACTAAAAGAATATATGGTAACCCTGTTTTACATATAAGGATAACTGTATATAAGCATAAAATTTCATGTGCTGTTACCATTTTCCATTTCTGCTGTTTACTGTCTCTCCACTACCCAAGTCCTAGCGTGTTTTTCCCACTCTCCAGATCCTCTACTTTGAATCTGTTGTTGCTTTCCTTGCTTTTAAAGCCTTTTCTGAGGTTATTTCAGATAACTGGGTTTTTGTAACACTTAAGACTTGTGGTACCTGTATCATCTGACAATGAAAAACTTCTCCTGTGTGAATTATAACTAAATTGTGAACTATTTCCCCTCACTGGAAAATAGTAGTAGAATATAAAGTAGTTAAACACAGCACTTAGCCTAACACACTGGGACTTTCGCTAGTTTTAGTGGCAAATCAGTCTTGTCAGTCTTGTTTTTTTGAGCTTGCTCCTTTGTTTTTGAAATTCTACCAAGCAAGTAGAATTCCAGAGGCAGCAAAGCAATAGATTCAGACCTGTGCTTTCAGATATCTTCTATTATACTTGCTTTTTACATCTGTCAACAGTAAGTTTTTCCCTGAGGAAACTCTTCTTACCAAGAAAATTTTAAAATGAATTGCACTTTGCTTTTGTTTTTTTAACTTTAGGAATAATTATGGAACTACAGACATTTTAAAAGGCAGTATAAGCATTAGGTTCATACAGTCCCCCTATGCACTGTGTAACTACAACACTTCCTAATCAACTACAATTTAAAAGGCACAATTAATAAGGGTATTGGGGTATTTATTTATTTATTTATGGAGAGAGAGAGAGAGAGAGAGAGAGAGCGAGCGAGAGCGAGAGCAGGGGAGGGGCAGAGAGAGGGGGACAGAGGATCTGAAGTGGGCTCTGTGCTGACAGCAGAGAACCTGATGCGGGTCTTGAACCCACAACCATGAGATCATGACCTGAGCCGAAGGCAGACAGATGCTTAACCAGCTGAGCCACCCAGGTGCCCCTGGGAATGTTCTTTAATTTTAGAGAGAGCACAAGCAGGGAAAGGGGGCAGAGGGAGGGGGAGAGAGAGAGAATCTTAAGCAGGCTCCGTGCTCGACAAGAGCCTGATGCAGGACTGGACCCCACTAGCCTGGGATAATGACCTGAGTTGAAATCAAGAGTTGGACGCTCAACTGACTGAGCCACCCAGGCACCTTGAAAATGTTTTTGGAGTTCTGAAATATTCCAGTAACTTCTGTTCTTTGAAGAACAAACTGAATTTCTTTTTTTTTTTTTTTCTCAGAGGCCATAGATGTGTACTCTGGAACCCAGTAGTTTTATTACTGAGCTAACATTACATTTCTCAAATAAACCCAAGCTGTATGATGTATAGGTTCCCCAAACTTTTTTGGAAGCCTTTGGAGTCAGAAGTGTTTCAGTATTTAGTATTCTGTCTGTCGCCTACCCCCTGCCCCCATATAATTATTACATAATAGTAATGGAGGAGTAAGAGGCAGTTCCATGTAATCAAGCACATTAATATTTTAGCATTGAAGCATGAATGTTCATGGTGAGTGAAATGAGGTCAGATCTGTTTAGGGAAGGTTTTACCTTCAAATAAGTCACAAAAAGTATTGCATTTATTTGATTTTTAGAGTTTTAGGTTTTAGGAATTTGAGTTTTATATAATCCTTTTGAGCCCAATATTTGTATTTATTTGTTTATTTTGAGAGAGAGAACAGGAAGGCAGAGAGAGAGGGGGAGAGAGAATCCCAAGCAAGCTCCATGCTGTCAGCACAGGACCGACGTGGGGCCTGATCCCATGAACCTTGATGTCAAGAGTTGGGCATTTAACCAACTGAGCCACCCAGGTGCCCCCGTACACACACACATTTTAAAGAGAAGTATTAAAGAAGTTTCTTTTGCAGATTCGTCTGTTACAGTCCAGTATGTAGCAATAAAGTTTTTCTGGTGAATGAGATCTGTAGAAAATAAATTTCAGACTTTGTAGTCATTATTAATAAAATACCACTTTAAGCTTATAATTTGAAATCTCCTACAAATTTATTTTTATTGAAAATTTTTTAAGTTTATTTTTTTTTTGAGAGAGAGTGAGAGAGAGACAGACAGTGTGAATGGGGGAGGGGCAGAGAGAGGGAGAGAATCCCAGGCAGGCTCCATGCTGCCAGCGCAGAGCCCCACATGGGGCTTAAACCCGTAAAACCGTGAAATCATGACCTGAGCTGAAACCAAGAGTTGGACACTTAACCAACTGAGCCACCCAAGGCACCCCTACAAATTGATTTTTAAATATATATTTGATGTGTAGTCAAATATAGTTATCTCACTATACACACTGATATATCAGTATCATTATTCAGGCTTGCAGTCAAAGAAATCTGAATTGTAATACCATAAAAAACATCTAGAAATTGTTCTGTTGACCTCTAAATATGCAGCTACATAATTTTGTTAATGTTTATACAAATGCCAAGGGGTTAGATTTCATTAGTAAAAGGAACAGAGAGATTTTGAATACGTGTTTCCTCATGTTTAGCCCTGGATGGAGTACACTAAAAGTAGCAGATGATCTTTTCTTACCAGCGCATGGCTCTTTGCAAGGATGGTGATCACTGGTTATATTTCATCAGAAGAAACCCATTACAAGATTGTGTTCTTTAATTTGTAGTGTAAGTGCTTTGAAGACCTTCTTATATAATTGAGTCTTCCTGTAGGAACAGTTAAGGATATGAGGGATTAAGATTGTTTTGTTTTTTTTTCTTTAAGACTACTGTGAAGACAGTTCCATGCGATTTATTGTATTTTTTTTTAAAGTGTGAGACTGTTTGACTAATTTTGTATTAATAGAGGGAAAAATTTATTGAATGTTTATCATTTTTCTGGCTTTATCCTGAGAACATTTGTATTTAAACCTCACACCTCTCTGCAGTCTCCTTCTTATTTTAATAGGTGGAGAAACTAGTGGACAGATAAGGCCTTTCTTAAATTGCCCACAGTCATTTAACAAACCCACTCTCTGCCCTTAAGCATGCCTCTCATTTTGGGGCACCTGGGTGACTCAGTTGGTTGAGCAATGACTTCAGCTCAGGTCATGATCTCACGGTTCATGAGTTCAAGCTCTGCATCGCGCTCTGTGCTGACAGCTCAGAGCCTGGAGCCTGCTTCGGATTCTGTGTCTCCCTCTCTCTGCCCCTTGCCTGCACGCGCTCTGTCTCTCTGTCAAAAATAAATATTAAAAAAAATTAAAGAAAAAAAGAATGCCTCTCATAACTTTTGAGGTCGTTTGAATACTAAGGTAAATAATGATTTTGTGTATTTGTGTAGAGAGACCCGTCTTAATCACTACCTTCACTTGCTTAAATTTCATTAGGGTGGGCAAGAATATAAACATTTTTTATAGTAGTATTAGGGAAGAAGAGTTTTTTTAAATGTAAATAACTGGTTGATCATGGTTGATATATGTTTTGCCATTTTCAGGTGTTAATGAACACCTATGAACATAGGCCAGTTTATTTAAAGATGAGAAGTATGTAGGAGTGATGACGTGAAAAGACAAATGGTAAGATAGAACTAATACAAAGAAAAAGATAGTTTTAGAGGTTTTTGTAGGATTAGGTAGGAACATGCACAGAGGTTATAACCAAATAAAAAGAACTGATGCAGAAAGCATGATGTTTTGATCGGGGTAGAGAAAACTAGTGTATAGGTTTTGGACTGTGAGAAAAAGAGTATTGGTATTTTACAACTTATTCCATTCCTTTGGTAATTTTCTTTCCTGTAAGATGATTATCCTAACATTTGGGACCTGGATGGGACTCTAGATAATCTAGAGATAGCTCACCCCCCACTCATCTCACTTTGCAGATGAGGAAGCGCAGAGGTTATAAAGTATGTGTCTGAGGGTGCGTAGCTCTTCAGGGGCATAACAGGATCTCTTCACTGTAACTTTAATTGCTTGCTTGTGTTCTTTTCCTGATGTTCCATACAACCTATGAACCTATCCGAAAATGAAATGGAAGCAAATACCTTTGGGTATACACCTGTTTTGTGATTATTCCTTATTGACATTCTTTCACAGTGTGTTTGTTTAAGTGGTCGGGTCAAGGGGTAAATTGTTTATATTTCCTGATGTTTGGTTTATGGGTTATGCACTTATTTGATATCTAATTAAGTTGTTGGCAATAAATATTTTCTTTCCTTAGAAAGAAGAAATATTGGATTTAGATATGATATATTTTAGATTTACCTTTTCTGTTGATAGAATAATGTAAACACTGAAATCATATTTTTCTCTCTTCATTTTGCAGTAGTATTATTGATTCCACAGAATTCAACCAACCTCCTGGTTTCAGTGGCAGTTCTCAGGTAAATGATGTATTTAACAGTTTGTTTTAGTGGTACAATGACTATAATCACCTGAGTTGTAAAATCATAGATTAGTTTCCTGGAATGTCCTGACACAAACACAGCTGTTTTGAATGCTGTGGCATCGATTAGGATTTGGATACCTCTGATGCATAAATAGCTGTTTATGTGCTCATCAGTGATGAGTTAAACATTTTTTAAAATTCAGTGGTTGTAACATCAGACCTTGAGAGGAGGGAAGTACTGTAAGAGGAAATTATGAATAATCAGCACATTGTTTCTCTCTGGGATAAGATAGTTAGATCTGTTGATGAGTTACTCATTATGTTGAAATGTTAGGGCTTTCTGTGGAAAGTGAAGTACATATTTGAGTAAACTGGACTTCAGCTTCACCTCTTCTAATTAGTTGTATGATTATTTTGACTTTTATTCTCGCCATCTGTAATTTGGGGATGCTGATATTTGTCAAATCTAATTTTGACAAATCTAATTTTGACAAAAAAGCTTTTTATGTTGAAATAATTTCATACTTGGAGAAAAGTGACCAAAATAATAAAAGGAATTCCTTTGTATCCTTTATCCAGATTATCCAAATGTTAACATTTGATTACATTTCTTTTCTCATTCTCATTCTCTTTTGTTTATGTAAACATAATTTTTTTTCTCTGTGTTGTTTGAGAAAGGTACATTCATAATGATCCTTTACGTCTAAATACTTCAGTGTGTATGTCCTTAAAAACAAGGGTATTGTCTTATGTAATCACAATATAATTTTAAAATACAGAAAGTTAACATAGATATAATGCTATTATCTAATCCCTGTATCTTACTCAGATTTTTCAAATTGTCCTGATACTATCCTTCATAGGAAAAGGGAAACATTGAGGTGTTTTTAAATGCATGTTCATTTGGGGCACATGGGTGGCTCAGTTGGTTAAGCATCTGACTGTTGGTTTTGGCTCAGGTCATGATTTCATGGTTGGTGAGTTTGAGACCTGCATCAGGCTCTGTGCTGACAGGACAGAGACTGCTTGGGATTCTCTCTCTCCCTCTTTCTCTGCCCCTCCCCCACACTCTCGCGCATGCTCGCTCTCTCTCAAAAATAAATAAACTTACATAAAATTATAAATGCATGTTCATTTGTATATTCACTTTATATATAGCGTGGTGTTTTGTTTTTGTTTTTTTTAAATCAAAGTGGAAAAAAAATTCTTTTGGATCATGCCGCTTTTGTTTGTGTTTTCCTTTTCCCACTACTTAGATAACCACCTCTTTCATGGTTAGTTGGTGTAACTACTTTGCACGTCCTGTGTTCTCTTCAAATGCATGCATGTATTTGGCCTGTTCTTTTATTTTTTTGAATAGTAAGTTCATAGATTGTTTTGCATCTATTCTTTTTTTTAAAGTTTATTTTAAGAGAGAGAGAGCACATGATCAGGGGAGGGGAGAGAGAGAGGGAGGGAGAAGAGAGAATCCCAAGCAGGTTCTGCATTGTTCAGCACAGGGCTTGATCCCACGAACTGTGAGATCAGGACCTGAGCTGAAATCAAGAGTCAGGCTCTTAACCTACTGAGCCACCCAGGTGCCATGGTTTGTGTCTATTTCTCCCTCCCTCCCTCCCTCCCTTCCTTCCTTCCTTCCTTCCTTCCTTCCTTCCTTCCTTCCTTCCTTCCTTTTAATTCTTTAAAAAATGTCTGTTTATTTTTGAGTGACAGAGAGAGAGAGAGCACGAGTGGGGAAGAGGCAGAGAGGGAGACACAGAATCCGAAGCAGGCTCCAGGCTCTGAGCTGTCAGCACAGAGCCTGATGTGGGGCTAGAACCCATGAACCATGAGATTAAGACCTGAGCCAAAATCAGCTGCTTAACCGACTGAGCCACCCAGGTGCCCCTGCATTTGTTACTGAACAGCCATGAAAACACTAGATCTGGTTACTTTTATAAGACATAATGGGATATATCAGGAGATATTTTAAAGTATTAAGTTGAAATATACCTTAAAAACTTGAGAGGGAACAGCAGTCTCTGAATCTGGAAACAGGCTTTGCATTCACAGTGAACCTTTATGTTTTCCTTTTGAGTATAATCTCACAAAACATCAACCTGAGATATATCCACTCTGTGATTGTGATGAAAGAAAAAAGAAGATTACTTCATAAACTAAGCACATACAAAAACAAAGTCACTGTGTAAGCCACAAGAAATACCAAAGACACCTCTGTTCCAGCTAATTTGAGCAATTTCTGTTGATTTACTAATTACAATTTTAGTTTTACTGTGGCCTTCTGTTCTTCTAGGTAAGATTTATTAAGATGGTCAGTCATAGGGGTGCCTGAGTGGCTCAGTCGGTTAAGCATCTGACTTCGGCTCAGATATGATCTCATGGTCTGTGAGTTGGAGCCCCGCATCGGGCTCTGTGATGACAGCTCAGAGCCTGGAGCCTGTTTCAGATTCTGTGTCTCCCTCTCTCTGCCCCTCCCTTGTTCATGCTCTGTATCTGTCTCAAAAATAAACATTAAAAAAAAAAAAAAAAAGACGGTCAGTCACAGATTTATTCCCACTTTTGACAGTATTCAATCCAGAGCCCTTCCCCAAACACTTGACATGAGCCTGTATTTTGTAAGTTGTCCCTTACCCATAATGTGCTGTATTCTTAGTCATAGTGGGTAATGAATAAAACTTGTTCAACTAAAGGTGTGTGTTTCTATTAGTCTTTGGCTGCTGAGTATTAACAGTCTCTTCATAGAGGAACAAGAAAAGGTTTGCTAGTATTGCCATTTACATAATATTTGTTTAGAATTTCTAGCAGTGAGCTAGAAAGAATAGAAGTTGAATCTGGGTGGAAAAGAAAAGCAGTCAGAATAGTGTTTTATTTTTTTAATTTTTAGAGCAGCACTTTCCTCATGTAATAAAGGAAACCTCTGGTTTGAGATAGTACACTGAGCCAGTCAAGCAACATGTTAATATGTCTCTAACCTTCACTCACAAGAAATCCCATTGACCTATGACTATCCTCACCCTGCAAACTTATAAGGAATTTATAGAGGATTAACAAAACCACTTAGGAAGGCTGCCTAACATGAGTCACAATGTGCAGAATAAAAGTGTGCCTAAGGATGACAAAGGCTGGGTCTCCCAGAAGACTCCAGCCTTAGCCGCTGTTGGAGGACAGGGAAGTGTTGAGGAGGAATCCTACTAGCGTTTGTGGGATAGAATGGATTGGACATATTGTGCTGAAGGTCTACCCTTCATTTCTAGCTATACTCTTCAGAAGAGACAGACCTAAAGCAAATTGACACAAAATGGATTGAAAGTAGAGGAATAGTTGAGGATAAGCCTGGCAAATGTAAGGATTCTAAAGAATATAGCGAAACTAAAACTAAAGCAACCACAAGTGAAAGAGAAGTGTATACTGGAAGAGGACTCAGGGAAGGAAGCATGAAAGACATATGCAATTTTTCACCCAAGTAAAAGGTATAGTTCCCCAAAGTCGTAGTAATTTGTGTGACATACTATAAGCATTGGAGTTTATATAAAGCAAAATTTGTTACAATTTTTTGAAAATTGATTAAAATTTAAACACAGTGGGAGATTTTGAAGTATACCTAAAGAATTCATTAAAGCAGTAATATTAGTCATTATGTAACACTTACTTTGTACTTAACTATTCATGGACATTACAGTGCTTTACATGTATTAACCACTTAAATTTTCAGAACTTAACCTGTGTGATAAGTATTATTACTATAATTTTTATTGAGGCAACTGGGGCACAGGGAGGTTAAGGAGGTTGCCCAGGACAATATAACTAGTAAGAGATTTTAACCTAGGCATTATGGCTTCAGAGCCTGTGATTTTAAAACTTATTTATTCAACCAACAGTTTTTTTTTGTTTTTTGTTTTTGTTGTTTGTAGTACCTGCTATTTACTAGGCACTGATTACAGGCTCTGGGGATACATTATTGAACAAACATAACACCAAGATCCCTGCTGTAACCAGGCTTCCAATCTAGTTGGAGAGATAGTAATAGTAATAAAAGTAAGACTGCCTTTTTTTTTTTTATATTTATTTAATGTCTATTTATTTTGAGAGACACAGAGTACGAGAGGGGGTGGGGCAGAGAAAGAGGGACACACAGAATCCGAAGCAGGCTCCAGGCTCCGAGCTGTCCGCACGGAGCCTGATGCGGGGCTCAAACTCATGAACCGTGAGATCATGCCCTGAGCTGAAGTTGGCCACTTAACTGGGCTACCCAGGCGCCCCAGAAGTAGACTACCTTTAAACAAAGTGGAGGTGCGGGAGCAAGCCCGTGTGAGTATCTCTGGGATTCCCAAGTTATAGGCAAAGGCTTAACAAGTAAATGAGCCCTAAAGTAGGAGCATGCCTGACATAGTTTAGATTTCCCTTGTAGCTGAAGAGGAGTAGTCAAGGGGGAGAAAAGTAGAAATGAGATAAAACTTAACAGAGGCCACTTGGTGCATGACTTTCTTAGGCCATTATAAAGACTCGGGACTTTTTTTTGTTTTTTGTTTTTTTTTTTTTGAGTGAGATCAACTTAAGCTTGGTTTAATAGGTACTTGTTTCACTTTATACTTTGCATCAGAGGGTATATATACATTATTGATAGTGGTCTCGGACCATTTAGAAAAATGGATTGATTCTAAAACAAGATAAATTGTGTCATCTGTATTCTCTGAATCAGAACCCCAAGTAAAGAAATTATGTAGACAGATAATCGGGAAGAGAGTAAACTAAACTCCTCTGAATACCTTTGTGTTCAAGAGTAGTTCCAGATGCTGCTACAAGCAATCCAAAAAGTAATGGTAGTGAAAACACTACATATCAAAATTTATGAAATGTGGTCAGAATTGTCCTCAAGAATTTGTGTCATTAAATGGATTCACTTTTAGATGAGAATGAAAACTGATGAACTAGACATTCAACTCAAAGCTGGGAAAATCTTAAGGTGGTGACTGTAGAGGGACAAATAAAAAGCTTCTA